CACTACCCGCAATGCACTACACGACCTAAACACAACGCAGACGCCACTGCTGCCTTGTCTGAACTCCACATGCATCGCACGAAACCCGCAGCGTCGACGCCTAGGGACGACAACCATCAACGACGACGATGACACTAGGCCTGCAGTGAGACACCCCGCAGAAGGCGGAACAAAACGAAGTCTCCACCCTCCTGCCATCGCTGCGACGAACACAATGCCACTCCCTGCCGTGCTTAGTCGCAACAGGACTCAGAGCTGTTTCAATCGCTCCGACAGAGCAGTGCGCAGGGCCAACGCTTCGTCGGTCGTAGTTAGCATTGACACGGGCTGCAGGGGCTCTTCCATCCCCAGGTCCACACGTCTTCGCACACCATTAGCGTCGACCTCCCACAGCAGGTTCTCGTCGAATGGAATCCCGGCGTCGATAAGTATGTTGTGCAGTATACAGACGGCGGTGAACTGCTGCGGGAGAGTCTCCAGGTTTGTCTTGTGTGATCGCAGAAACAGACGCCACATGCCCTTCAGCCCGCCGAACGCCCGCTCCACCGCTCCCCTCGCCACCTTCTGCTTGTTGTCGAAACGCTCGTCGTTGACGTGCTGATTGATGCCTCCATACGGGACCACCATCCATTCAGATGGGGGGTAACCGTTGTCCGGCAGGACGTAGCCGCTCGTGCGCACACCAAAAGGGAGTGTCACAGGCGGACCATGGAACAACTCCCCTGACTCCGCGCGCTGCTAGAGGCTGGACAGCTGGAGCACCCTGATGTCGTGGCAGCTCCCCGGGTATCCGCAGTGCACGTCGACAACTTGCAAGTCGAGGTCGACGACAACCTGCGCGACGATGGAGAAACGGCGCTTCCTATCGTAATAGTTCTCGCTTGGGGCGTTTGCCGGCTTGTCGACGAAGATATGAGTACAGTCGATGCAACAGTGGCAATTGGGGAATCCTTTATCAGCGAACGCCCGCAAGACGACGAGCTTGCGAAGTCCACTCGGCCAGGCAATCTTATCTGCGTACACCCGGAGCAGCGCGGCAGTGACGGCGCGCACGGCGACAAGGCCAGAGGCTCTGCCAATCCCGAAGTTGCACGTGCCTCTCTCGTATGTCTCACCCGACGCCCACCTGTACAATGCGTATGCGACAATCTGGTCAGGCTGAAGAGGCTCCCTGTAAAACGTCACCCGCCGCTGAAGATGAGGCGCACATGCCTCTGTGATCTCCCGAAACACTCGTGGCGACATTCGTAGTTTTTCCCGGAAGTAGTCGTCCGTCGCGTCGTCGCATTGGCGGAGGTCTTCCCACGTGCCTCCAGTCCTGCGCTTTATCCACCACCACGACGTCTCTCTCGGCATCACTCCGCACCCCGACACGTACCATAACTCAAGAACACTCTGCGACGTCGCCACGTACTCCGGACCAATGCTGTCTTGAAGCCTCATGACCACCCTCCTTCTACGTGCGCGCAACTCCGCCCTCAGTCGTCCAAGCCCCCGCTCGCGATGAGCTCTCTCTGCAAACGTCGACACGGCCGCCGCCACGACTTGCAGTTCATGAAGCGTCAACAAACCACGTCCGCCCTCTCCGCCGAACTCCATATCTGTCACACTGAGATGGCACCGTCACTCCGTGCACGTGCGTCGTCCTTGCACGCGCGCAGTCGACGTGGAAGAAGGTCGACGGCGATGGACGCAGCCGATGATGTCTGTGGGGGCTGGAGGTGACGAAGCGGAACGAACGCCGCCGCTCAGCCCGTTTCGCTACCGCGCTGTCTCCGCCCCGCCAGAAACCACGCCGCAGGGAGCCACTGCCGTCATTCGAATTTTGAATTTCGAACGTCCAAGGGCCCGCCCTTAAATTCGTCTCCCGTCAGCCGCCCAAAGCCGTTTCCCGCCTCACGACGTTGGACCACGCCGCCGCCGGACGGACAMAAMTTTGTGGACCAAGGACGACCGACCCCGCGGCCAGTAATTTTCGTATGAAAACGGCCGCGGGCACGCCACAAGGAAACGTCCTTGGGGCAGGTCCCCGAGGATGAGTGGAACGATCACGCAAAATTCCCTTATCTGCCCCAAGGAAATTTCCTTGTGGCTCAAGGAACTCGTAAGGATAGTCTAACGACGCCCTTAGTGCATGGTGTTTATCCTGAGTGGCCATCGACGTGCAAGCTTCCACTTGGATGCTCTTCCAGCTTTGCCAATTAGGGCAAGTGGTCTTCGGCTCTGCGCTTCGTCCAAGTGGTGTCGCAGGTTGGCACGCAGGCAAAGGGGAGACTATCGTTGGAAGAAGGATGATCTCCATGAGATTTTGGCCATAGGTGAGGCCTTGTTCCTCTGCTCCTGCGCAGTGTTGAGGAGGTTGATTGGGAATCGCGGACGGAAAGGGAGAAGCTCGTTCTCACGTGGAGTGGGAGGAGGAAGATCGTTCAAGTGCGAGCATCCAGAAGGGACTGTGACGATGTTTTTTGTTCCGACTAGTTGATGGGCTCACTGTACAGGGGAAGGTAGCTGCGATGAAAAGACTGTAGCGATCGTGGTGCTGTTCTTGTTTCTTCGTATGGTTGTATCTGCACCGCCCTTGTCCGATAATACTGGTTAGAGTAAAATAACTATTGCTCTTAAACCTTCTATTACAATTCTATAATTACGATCAGGGTTATACTCGTAGCCATTTTCCAAGGTGAGTTCAACTTCTTCAATTATAATCTTGGTTTTGTCTTGGTCTTACTTCAACATCATTTAGCACAATTCATTATAATTACGTATCATTGATTCTCTACTATATCTTATAGAAATCCCAAGTGCTTCTGAATTTTACTATCATAGCCTAGATTCTGAAGATTTTTTTTTATAATTAGTTTTTGCTTTCTAAATCTGTATTGAGCGCATGTGGTGGGAGCTGCCAATTTTTTATTGCCGCAAGGGGCAGTGGAATAATTGCAACAAGCTTTACTGCCGCCCCGTGCCTTCTTCAGTGGGTTAATCTAAAAAAATGCGGTGGAGTTTCTGCAGTTGTGCAGATTTTAACCTATCGGCTAAAGGGGGACACGTGCTATGTAGGGTTAGTACCCTGGAAGGTCTAGACTGCTTTATAAAAAACGCTAGGAATATATGTTTTTCTTATTTTGCTGAAAGAAAAATGAGAGTTCTTGGAGAAATTAACGATGCCTTGATTAAAATGGGGGTAGATACCTCTCTCCCCGTAAATATGCTATCCGATTGCCTTAAGACACCCTCTGCTAACGGTAACCTTGACCCCTACTCTCTGACTTACCTTAAGAACCTAACATCAGTGGATAAAAATCCAGCCGAAACTGTCGTTATGTGCCCGGAAACCTATGCTAAGAGGATGAAAGACACTTTTTGGGGTAATGAAAGCTTCCGTATAGAATGGAGATCTGAAGCCGAAATTCTTATGAAATGTGAAAGGGATTACCAGGATGGCGGATTGTCGAGATTAGGTAAATGGGATACTACAGGAGAATGTGGGCGAGCTTACATTATCCCTAAAAATAAGGACTTAACAAAGTTTCTCCCTATCAGCCCATCGTTTTCTGAGCCATCAAGGATGGCTGGTAGCCGCGTTGCTCGCGCTCTGAACCACCTCCTGTTTCTCCTACCAATGACTTTGCATTTCAACTTGAAATCGACAAATCTGCTAACAAGACGAGTGACGGAAATCGACAATTGGATTGAGAAGCAGAAGGGGAACCTGCATAGTGCCTTTTTCGATATAAACGAAATGTTCAATCGCCTACCTCACGATTCTATTGAGAAGGCACTTAACTGGCTACTCAACTACTACAAGGGAAAAGGTAAGAACGAATTAGCAATAAAACGAAGAGGGAAAGGGACATCCTTCTCTTTGAAGAATGAGCCGGATAGTTAGATAACCATCAGTTTTGAAGACATTCGCCACCTTGTCAGCTACGAACTTCGCAACACCTACGTAATGGCAGCAGAGAGACTCATCAAACAAGAAACAAATATTCCTATGGGTAAGAGTACTAGCCCCCCTTCGGCCTGTATCCTTTGTGCCTTCGACGAGTTTAACTTCCTATCAAGCTTAGGCTCTGATAGGAAGCTGGTGAAGGGAATACGACTCATGGACGACGTATCGCTTTTTGTCTGGAGTAAAGACAAGGATGGTGATGCAAAAGCTAGGAGTATCATTAACCGCTTCGAATCGGCTTATGATCTAGCTCTTACACTGGAACGAACTGATGAGGGAACAGGGGAATGGGAATTCCTGGGGACATGGATTAAAATTGAAACAGGGAGAAAAGTGACGACCCTGTTAGTTATGAAGAATTTAAAGACATTTGGAAAGACGGCCTACTTACTTTCAGAACAATCCAGGATTTCTCGTCCTACTCATCCGTCCCGCAGAAGAAGGAGGTGATTACGAGCTGTCTACACAGACTCTACCAAATAACTTCGAAGGTGGAGATTGGGACACTACTAACCTTGAAGAGACTGCTACGACTGCAAGGATACCCAGGCAAGTACTTCGACGAGTGCACGGGGAAATTTATCCGAAGAAGAGCGCCGTCTTGGGACGCTTGGGGAAAGAAGTTTTGCGGCTAGTAAAGTATTATAGATAGCAAGTTACCCGGATCTTGAATATATACAGGATATGTTACGTTTCAGATAGTACAAAAGTCCTGACGGGGTGGACAGGGAGCGCTATCCTGCAAGGGATTCACGAGGGGGGTGAATGTCTCGAAGAGGGTAGGGGGGGGAGTTGGGGGTTCGCCCAGTTCCGGGGCTGGGGTTGGTGGAGGGCTCAACATCAACCCCAGTGGTGGCAGAAACGGGCAAGGGGTGGCAACGACATGTTTTAGGACGGAACTGCGTGTCCTCGGGGATAGGGGTGGAAGGGGTTGGTCCCAGATTAGGGTCAAGGGAGAGCGGGATGCTCGCCTCGGCAGAGGTGGTGTAGGGCTGAGGGGGGAGGGGTATGAGGAGGGAGGTGTGACCTTCTTTCGAAGATTTCTAAACATTCAGTCCAAGAATTTTCTCTCAATTCTCTTTAATTGGTTTTGCCTCTCGAGGAGGTGCCAGGAATAGGTGGTATCCAGCAACCCATCTGTGATTCCGCTGAGTTTGGTTGTAACACGGCGGCCCTCGACGACCAATGCTGGAGAAACGCTGGCCGGAGCCGGAGCGAGGGGGCGCAACTCTGTCACCTAGCCTAAAGGGGGCGTGAGGCCTGGAAGAGATCTGGGAGGCTGTTTGTGGGGGCAGTCTAAGCGGTCATCAGGGTAGGAGCTGGCGCAATGCGGGCCGGAGGCTGGAGCAACGTGGTGCAACTCTGTAACCTGGCCTGATGGGGCATGAGGCCTGGTCGAGATCCGGCTTTTCGCTGTAAACGGCCATGCCAGCATGTTCATAGAGGGGATTGTATGAGTTTTCATCTATTTTTTTCGTGGTCGGGAGAACCTTCGGTACATCAGGATCTTAATTTTTTCCAGAAACTCTTCATCATCTACAGTGTTCTTAGTCGAAAACGGGTGATGTCCCTAGTACTTCATGATTCTGTACTTTCACAAGGGACGCTGGGCTCGGTTCCCAGCCGTGTTGCTCCCCACGAATAGATTTGGAGCATCGTCTCCAAAAACAAACAAAAAAAAAAACGCTCACCGTCAAGAACAAGTAACAACAACAATGTACACTGTGACAGTGAGCAACCTAACAACAGTAACAACAGCAACAGCAGCTGTCTACACAAGGGTAGGAACGCAAATAGGTCCACCATCAAGAACAAGTAGTAACAACAGCTGTGTACACAAGGGTAGGAACGCAAATAGGTCCACCATCAAGA